ATCACTACTTTTTCTGGTGTTTTATCTACTATCTTCACTTTAGGAGTGAATATCAAAGGATGACCTACACCATATCTCTTGTCAGATGAATCTCCAGTCGCATAAATGTTTCTTCTGGAGTTTCCTTGCTTTCCTCATAGAATTCCAGCTCTTTTATATCCATCATTAGCTGGATCAAAGACCTAAACTCAGAACATTCTTGCACATCATGTCATTCTTCATTGTGATAACAACAATGATTGCCACCTTCATATTTTGATATGCTAGGTTGTGGTGCCAAATATCCTACCTTTACCATTTGCTTCAATACCCAAGCCATAGGAGATTTCACTTCTAAAACTCTGGTCTTGACTTTCTAGCCTTTCTCCTTGATGATTATGTTAGCCTCATTTTCTTGGTGATTAGGTAGATGGTTCTGTGCAACATTAGGTGACTCTGAATTATTGAAGTGAATCTAGTTCTTGTTACGCATTCTTTGGACAATCTTTTTAAAAGTGAGGCAGATCTCAATAGCATGCCCCAGGACCCCACCATGATATTCACAGTGTGCATTCTCATCATACCATCTGGGGTATGGGGGTTTTAGAGGTTATACTGGGTATGGTGACACCACATGTGTATCAAAAGTTGCTGGTAAAGTTCCTTATATTTTATGGGAATATGATCGAAATGATCATTTTCTCTTTCTCTCATTGGTTCCCTCGAATCTTGTCTAGAAGTACCTTACGGTACAGCTGCAATTGGTTTTGATTTACATATTGTAATACTTTTATTGGAGTTGAAAGCATTGATGTTGCTGATTTCTCATTCTCTCTTCTTCATAGGAGGTTTTCTACTTGACTCACCTCCCACTACATTTCCTTGTCTTATTATCGTCTCCACCATTTCTCCAGCCATAATTAGATAAAAAAAGTTCCTTGATTTGATTACGACCATGTGCCCAAAGAAAGAAGCCTTCAAATTATGCACGAAGAGCTTCCTTGTTTCTTTTTAATCCAAAGGTAAATGAACCTGCACTGCTAAATCCCTCCACCGTTGTGCGTATTGCCTAAAACTTTTGTTATGCTTATTCTCTATACTTTGCAGCATAAAATGATTTGGTCTCATGTCATTTACATGTTTGTATTGTTCCAATAATGACTTGGCAAGATCTTTCCATGTCTAGATGTAAGAATGGTTCAGTTGATTGTACCACCAAATGGCTGAACCTACCAGACTCTCTTGGAAGCAGTGAATCAGGAGCTGGTCATTCCCGACATATATGTCATCTTTCGACAGAACTTGGGACCAAACTTAGTTCAAGTGTGTCAAGTCTATAATAATTTTCATATCCTTTAACTGTCTTCATTTGATCTTCCAACGCTTGATCTTTTCTCCATTTTCTTTGCTTTGGCTTCCTCATTAAAATTCGGAATTCAATAATCATCTATATTATTTTAAGGGTTGGTTACAGAGGCTTATTCTTTTGTAGCAGATGAATACCCTTGAAGTCCTAGCAAGATTCCAGGTGAAATAACCAACTATGGAGTAGGTGGTACAACCACCCCTTCAGATGCCCCTGCCCCAGGATCATTCATTTGATTCAGGCCAGACAACCTTGCAACAATCTAATCAACCAACGAATATTGGTTCCTAGTGAAAGAATCCAAGGTATTTTGTTGATTGACTTATTCTATCCTCAAGTTCCTTTTGCAATCTCAGCATGTTTTCTTCAAGTTGAGCAATCTTTGCTTCCATATGTTTTTTTCTTTGTATGATTGCAGTCTCGACATTTTTTCTTCAAGTTGATCAAACTTTGCTTCCATCTTCCATTTTTTTGTATATTTGTTGTGGTTTTTTGGTGCTCATCCACTGTTCGTTGTTCGATTGTTTTTTGTTGTTGTGTATTGCTGCCTTTTTCTATGTGTTTTGGTTGGCTTCTCGGTGTGGTATTTATATAGCCCCCGTCAAGGTTGTTTTCGATCACCTCGAGGTCGTTCCCCCGTTATTTGGGCTTCGAATTGTTATTGCTTATTGTTGGCCGAAAATCTCGGGATGGTTCAGTCCCGAGTTGCTCCGATTTTTGCGATTTTCCAGTTTTCATGACGATTGTAACCACGCTGTCGCATTGCCTCCACGTGTCGTTAAACTATTAATCAGATGCATCTTGGCCTTTGAATCAAAGAGCCAGATCCAACGGCTCTGGATGATGCGACACCCCTGCTAAAGTATGAAACTCTAGCCCCCATCTGGGTCTGGCAGATGGGCTTGGGCCTTATCAGGCTTGCTTCGGTTGGGCTTCACTCTGGATTGGTTTGACTTGGATCGAGATGGACTTTGTTGGACAAGATTTAGACCTACAAATAAACTTAAATATAATATAATATAATATAATATAATATAATATAATATAATATAATATAATATAATATAATATAATATAATATAATATAATATAATATAATATAATATAATATAATATAATATATAATATAATATAATAATATAATATAATAATATAATATAATATAATATAATATAATATAATATAATATAATATATAATATAATATAATATAATATAATATAATATAATATAATATAATATAATATAATATAATAAATAATGTGTATACTATATTTATTTTAAAAACTATATAACATATATTATATTTTCAAAAACTATAATATGTTTCAAAAACTATATATATTATATATATTTTTTAAAAACTATTTTCGAAAGTCATATATATTATATGTTTCAAAATTATATATTTTCAAAAATCGTATTTTATATACATTTTTAAAATTATTTTATATATATTATATATTATATAATATTATAAATACTGTAATAAAAGCCCTTGGTGTCCTTGACAAAAATGGTGTCTACACACACGTATACATATTGTGTGCTTTACTTCACTCAAGGTTACGGGTGTATGAAAAATACGTTAGGGTGTTTAAAAAATATGATGTGATTCATTAAATCCATTAACTGATTTCAGTGGTTAAAGTAAGTGTTTTTTCATTAAAGTCTTGGGTACGAGCAATTGCAACTATAGTGTGTGCATTGTTAATAGTTAAAATTATGAACATATATTACCTTGTAAGCACGCCATAAGACTATTCAAAAAAATATCCGATTCATTTATTTTTTATTTTTAGATACTTGAAATTGAATATTTGAGTGAGAAAAAATAGATAATCAAAACATATTTAAATCAAATAAATTTTAATTACGAATTATTTAACAAAACTAATAAAATATAAGCTTTTAGAATAGTTTACCCAACCGAACAGCCCAAACTTGAAGCATCTTTGCAGAATAAATCTCTCAACTGAATCTGATTTACGGAAGATTGATTCAAGCCTCGTATCCGAACAGACACTTGCTGTTTTCTCCAGCCGTATAGTCAAAGGGCTAGTGATCCACATCCAAGTGAAGAGCCAATTTTTGAAAAACAAGCTAGCGGAGGATGTGTTCCTATGAACTTTATCATTTACACCAAGTTCGACGGGTATCGGTAATCTTTTTCCACAAAAAAAAACTTACAATAATCAAATCCCAATATACAACCGGATAAATAACGAGTGTAATATCTAAATTATCAGTTTTAGTCCGTTTTAATACTTAAAATTTTAATATTTTCAAAATCATATATAATGTTTAGTTTTTGTTTCGTTTTAGTATCTCACCATTAAAAGTGATTTACACGTGTACCTTTTTTATGGGTAAATTGTATCATTCATCATTCAACTATCTTCTCACTCTCATTTTGGTCACTAAAGTTTAATTTTTTTAATTTAATTATTTAACTTTCAAATTACTCCTAATTTAATCACTCTAACTTTCAAATTTATTTTTTATTTTTAATTATATATTAATAAAATAAAAATAAAAATAAAAATGTCATGTCACAAAATTATTAATAAAATAAATTAGAATGATTAAAATATAAGCTATTTAAAGGTTGAGTAGTTAAATTAAAAAATTTCAAACTTTAGTGTCAAAATATGAGTGAGAAGATAGTGGAGTGATGAATGATGCAATTTACCCTTAAAAGAATGCAATGCCATTAAACCGAGGCACTAAACTAAATAAAAACTAAACATGAAATATAATTTTAAAATAAAACTAAAAATTTAAATATTAAAACGGATCAAAACTTATAGTTTATTTACTAAAGTTTTACCTTTACATCCTTATAACTTACCAGAATCAAACCTCGCTGACTTGGAAATCAATCGGAACTTATCCTATTGCAAGGTACCCATTATATAATTTAATTCTCAAATAGTATTTTAATTATTTATTACGGGAGAATGATTGCATATAACCACAAAATATAAAATTTAAATTTGATATTTTTTTCAAATTATGATCTATCTTCAGATCAGATGTTTGTATACTTGATTTTTCGAATATTCGTATATTTGATTTTTTTTTCGGATGACGATTTTAGTGATTTGGAATTTAAGATTGGATAATAATAAAAAAATGCACACCCATAGTCAGGGTAGATTTTTTTCCTTGCGCCTGAGGCAATATAAGGGTTTAAGCGCCTAGAAAGTTCCTTGTGCCCATGACATCATTGTTCCTGATTCATTGGATTGTTCTGCTTCACAAATTTGAGTTCAAGACATTGATATTCGGATAGATATACCAGCATAGACTGAAAAAGGTATGGCAATATACTCCCATGTTCTTGTGTGAGTAGACAACTACAAACTTTTCAGAATTTGAAATGTGTGTTCTTTTTTAGGAAAACTAACATTAACAGCTTCTATCTGTTAGACATCTACAGTAGTCGACTACGGGTTACATATGGTTGCAAAAAGCCATTCCAAAATTCAAGTATGGATGGAAGAAATGACATAAATTGCTAGCTGAACTTACCCTGGATATAGAGGGAAGTTGTCATAAGAACTTCATTCATACTCATTAACATTACTGAGTAAAAAAGCTCAAAATGACAGCTCCACAAATATCACAAAACCACAATCTATTCGATCAAAGAGTAACAAATTAGAGTTCATTAAACAGTATGGGATAATCAATTGACCTTAGCAGTCAAAGTATCAACAAAGGCGGAAGGGTAAAATGATTTAATACACAGTCAATATCGTAATCGAAATCCTATAAATGTTTATTTTTTTGGCAATGACTTCCTTCTCTGAAAGAAACTCAAGGGATAGAAGCCTGTATTTGCATGGATTATCTCTTACCAGAATAAACGATTCATGGCCGTTCCTTGAAGCAACCTCAATATTGGGAGTTATCGAACACCCAAGGTTCATGTAAGAAAAGCTCCCGTCCATTCATTTGCACGGTCCCGGCTGCTATATCTTCAGCACGTTTTCTAGCTGCCTCGGCTTTCTTAGCTGATGTATCTCCATCCTGCAAAATGACATGAACTGTAACTCGAGAAACCCAGAAAAAGGGATAAAAACAATATGGAAACTGAAGACACTGAACAAAAAAAAAAAAAAAAAAAAAAGAACGCAAATTGAACCTATATTTTCTTATTAGGACTTTGCAACCTCAAATATTTCAAATTCAATTGTCAACTAATATCATCCATTGCTTAGTTTCATTAGTTCTGCGTCTCCAATTTGAAATTAAATCTAACATCTAAAAAGAAAGTGGTAAATAAGTAAAGCCCTAATTCGCATCAAATTATTAAAAAGAAAAAAATCAAGGATAAAAGTATATGAAAACCTTCTGGCGCTTCCAAGCGAGGAACTGGGATTCCGTAATTGGATTAACCCTAGGCGGTTCGTTCTCTGGCGATTTCTCATCTTCTTTCGGTCCCATTTCTCTTTAACCATAGGGAGATAAACACGTGATCTCGGATATGTTTATTAGGCTTGTTTATACTTGAACGTCATCGTTCCAGCTAAAACATAAATAATATGTTTTAGGGTAAACTACACATTTAGTACCTAAATTATCAGTTTTTATCTGTTTTAATACTTATATTTTCAATTATTTTCAAAATTATACCTAATGTTTAGTTTTTATTTTATTTTATTTTAGTTAAAAACTTAACGACACTGATTTTTATGGATAAATTACATCATTCATAACACAACAATCTTCTAACTCCTATTTTGATACTAAAGTTTAAAAATTTCAATTTAACTACTCAACTTTCAAGTTACTCCTATTTTAATCACTCTAATTTATTTTATAAATAATTTTTTGACATGAAATTTTTATTATTATTTTATTAATATATAATTGAAAATAAAAAAAATAATTTCAAAGTTAATTGATTAAATTACGAGTAATTTGAAATTTAAGTAATTAAATTAAACAAAATTAACTTTAGTGACCAAAATAAGAATGAGAAGACAGTTAAGTAATGAATGATACAATTTACCAATAAAAAAGAGGTCACGTGCAAATCACCCGTTAAGTTTTTAAAGGCGATGTGCTATAACGAAATAAAAACTAAATGTTAGGTATGATTTTAAAAAATTAAAAGTTTAAATACTAAAACGAACCAAAACTAATATTTTAGATATTAATGTGCAATTTACTCTATGTTTTATACACCAATAATTTTATTTATCTAACATGAAAATAAATTAATACGTTTTTTTCTTTAATGTTTATAATTGAATATAATTCATTCATATAATTAAACTAAAATTAAAATTATATATAATTATATTAAGTCAATTATAAATATATGTTAATATTCGAAGTTGTTTGGTTTGTTACAATTGATATTAATGATTTTTTCTATCCTATTAGGTACACATACTTAAATTTCATTATATAAATTATCCCAATGTGGTAAGTTCATTATTTTTTTTTTAGAATTAATATACATTTTAATATTTGAAGTTAGCTTTTTAGTTTATATCCGCACTTGAACTTTATTTTTTTTTTGTTCAAATTTAAATATTTCATATTCAAATCAATTCGAGTTGGATGTATTTAGTCAAATTTTTAATAATTTTACAATTTTTAAAATTTAATTTTTAAAATAATTAATTGGACAAAAATTTGAAGTTTAAATTTAAATCAATAATTCAAATTTAAATATTAATTTCAAAAAAACAATAAATTAAGATACCTAATTATATACTAACCCTAAACAATTTAGAAGACATGACAATTTAGAGTAGCTTGTATAACAAAATCAAATATTAAGTACATAATTAAATAAAAAAATGTGTTGCGTTGTATATTATATTATAAATATTGCCTTAAACATGTAAACAAGAAAGTAAATGTAGAACAAATATTTTGATATAAAAAATAAGGGAAAAAATGTTTTTGGACCAAATTGAATTTGTTCAAACATTGCAAAAATAATTCAAAGTTTTTAAGTTTTTAAAAGGTGAAACAGACAATTTTGGGCTGGTTTTGAAACCCCTAAGGCATAATGTAAATCTGACCTACATGTTTCGAAACCCCCTCAAAGGTTTTGAAACCCCCTGCTCAAACGGCCAAAAAATTAAATGTGGGTTTCAAAACCCCCTTAAAGGTTTTGAAGCCCCTGCGTAGAATTGCAGAAAATTTTGCTGCCAACGACTCCAAATCATCCCCAATGGCTAAAAACAGCTAGTAACTCATTCCAACATATAAAAACACTCCAAGGACACTTGAAGAAGTTGACAAACACCTATCCAAGCAATCAAACTCGAGAGAATAGTTCTTCAATCTTATTTTTCGTTCTCTTGTAAATAGTGTGTGTTTAGTGAGCTTAATTTTTTAAATACCTTCCTTTTGATAGGTTTTTTGTTTAGACTTTCTATCATTTTGTAAAGGGGTTTTGGTTCTATCTTAGCCAAGTGAAAAGATACGGAGTTGTAAAGGTTACTCTTGATCCTTCAAAAATAAAGAACAAATTAGTGGATTTGTTGGAAAATCCTAAGTGAGAAGCTTAGGTAGTAGATGGAGACTTCATTGAGGAAGTTGAACCACTATAAATCATTGTGCAATTTTCCTATCTTTTTTACTCATTACTCCCTAACGTTTAAAAAGCCAATTCACCCCCTCTTGACACATATTTCGGTTGATCAATCGAGCTTCATAAATCCTAACAATTGGTAGCAAAGCTTGATTCATTAGAAAGTCTAATGATACTCCCTAAAAAGGCTACTTTTAAGGCATTTTTCACTTAAGTTATTGTTTGTTAAAAAGCTCATTTCGACCATTTTAGGATCATGTAGTTGCATATAGTTACATTAGTGATGGTGGTGTTAGTTTATCTTGTAAAGGTGTTGTGCGAGGGAAATGTGTGGTTGTTTATGTTGTGCATCAAATAAAAAGCAAAAGGTTGAACTGGGAAGGAATGTCGTGACACCACACGTTGCTGAAGCAGAATGAAATGCCTTGGCATTTCTGGCGCAGAGAAAGACAAACAATAATTTTTATAAAAAGACAATTGGCAAGCACATGTCTGATGGTTATAATCGCCTGTTGGGGACCACTACCACCTGGGAGGTTAAGACTCACACCCAAGGAATGACTCTAGGGGTATGATGGGTAATTGGAGTGTTAAAACCCATTAATACCCTTAGATATTTTTTTATTATTTAATACATCTCATATGAGAGAGAAAAAGGAGAACGCATTGACCAAATTCAACTAGATTTTCTTCACCTTCTCCACTGTATCCTACCTTCGATCCTCTTAGTGGTGTTTCTCCATTAACGAGCTCCAAGGAGTGGCGAGCTAGGCGTCCGAAAGGAGCTAGCAAGCTAAGACGAGTCGTGATTGTTGATGAGAGCTCCAGCTGCGCACATCAAATGCTTATTCTCCCTTCCACTTTGCTGTTATTTTTCATTTGATATTGGGTTGTTGGAACGAATGAATTTCATGGATGATTTGAACCCCACCATGAACTAACCTTATTTGGTGGGGTTGATTTTATGGATGTTTGATATTATTTTAATGGTAGATTTAAATTTATCTTTTGCATTTACTTGTTTGCTTATGAATACTTCATCTTCTAAGTTTGTAGGAGGCATGAGAGTGTTCATTACTTAGATGAAGGCTAAGTGTTCGAGAGAAACTTAGTCATTAATACTTTTAGTATTAAAGAGAAACACAAGTAAGATCCACATAAGAAATAGGGTGTAGCAATTTCTTAAGCTTAGAACCAACATAGTAGTACTATATCCTAATCCCTTATTGTTTGAGAGAGACTAAGATAGGATTTCAATGACTAAGAGGGGGTAGTTTTTATCAATAACATAGGTTTTCATAGTTGAGACTTAGAGGAGATGTCGTGATATTCTATTCTATTAAGTTCCTTTGACTAGAGATAGCGGGAGCACTTTCAGCAAACCCTGTCGAACAAGTGACGCTTAGATAAATCAAATCTTCTTGAGAGATAAATTTTAGCATCCTTAAATCATTCCCTACCATTCATTCCCGTGGAAGCTTGTTGTGTGAGGATTATCAAACTATCATTTATTTACGATTTTTATCATTTTTCATTATCTTGACATTTCTATCATTTTCAACATTATAATCTACTCTTGCCACTACATTTTTCATCTTCTACCACATCATACTATCAATCCATATCCACCAACATATACTTTTCATTGCCGTAACATTCTCTATTGGTACATATCATCACTAACTATACTTAAATAGAGTAGTGTTTTGCTCTGGTTAAACTTTGTAATTTCCACCAATCCCTGTGGAGACGATACACACTCATGACTTTATTACTTAAGCGATTGTTTACACTTGCACATTATTTGCGTATAATTTTATAGTACTCACAACACGCAATAAGTTTTTGGCGCCGTTACTGGGGGATTTGCAACGTGAAGTTAATTAGTTTTGCCAGAGTATTTTATTTTTGCTTCTTTATTCTTGTATAGTTTACTTTATATTTAATTTTTTCTTTTTCAGGCCTATTTGGTGTATGCCTAGAAGACATAATAACGAGCCATTGTAACACATAGAACCTAATATTGAAAGACTCTTTAGACAAAGGAGATGTGCTCAACGTGTTCGAGCAAATATGTATCAAATTGGAAATCAGGGCATTAGTCAAGATGAAAGAAATCAGAATGTCGAGACATTACAAAATGTTGGACCTGCTGATAGGCCTCGTGTTATTCGTGATCATTTAAATTCGATGCTAGATGATTTGAATCCTGGAATTGTGGCACCAGAAATTCAAGCTGCACATTTTTAGCTTAAACCAGTCATGTTTAATATGTTGAATTCCATAGGGCAGTCTGAGGGCATGCAAACTGAATATTTCAACCAGCATATTCAAAATTTTTTGGAGGTTTGTGATTTTTCCGCCAAAAAGGAGTGCACGAGGATGTGCTCAAATTAAAGTTGTTTTCATATTCTTTGCTTGACCGAGCAAGGGTTTGGTTAAGTGGTGTTCCATACGGTTTGATGGAATCATGGGCTGATCTTTATAATAGTTTCTTATTGTGATATAACCCACCGAACATGAACACTCAGCTAAGGAATGACATAGCATCCTTTCGCCAGGGTGACGATGAATCTATGTACGAGTGTCGGGACCGTTACAAGAGTTTGATTCGAAAGTGTTCAAATCATGGTTTTCACAATTGGACTCAAGTAGTTATGTTTTATAATGGAGTCAATGCACCCACGAGGATGATGCTTGTTGCCTCGGCAAATGGGACATTGCTGGATAAATCACCTACTGAGGTGTTTACTATTTTTGATAAAATTGCCAATAACGACTATCAATTTCCTTCCTTGAGGCTTGGGAGTGGGAGGAAAGCACCTGAAACGTTCAAGTTAGATGCCAAGGACTCAGTTTTTGCTCATCTATCAATAATTACTAATATGCTGAAAAATTTACAATGCTCCACTGAGGTAAAGTAAGTGAAAGTAGCTAACTTGACATCTCTGTTATGCCAAAACAATCATCATGAGAGCGAATACCCGACCAACCATGAGTCCATGAACTTTGTAGGTAATTTCAATCAAGGATAATAATCCTTATTCTAACACTTATAATGGAGGATGACATCAACATCCCAATTTCTCATAGGGAAATCAAGGAGCCCACAATGCTAATCAATCCACTCAGCAGCAGAATTACACTGAATCTCAAGGCTACCAAAATGCTATACCATGGCATAATACCAACAAAGTAGATTCATCTTCAGCGAGCATTAGTTCATTGGAAGCTACACTTCAAGATTTCATAACTACCATGAAGACAATGTTGCAAGACCATTATACTTCAATTAAGAATCAAGGAGCTTTACTTCATAGCCAAGACGCCTTACTTCAAATCCATAGTTTGTCTTTGAGAGCTTTGGAAGGTCAAGTTGGTCATATTATTGCGGCATTGCAAGATCATTAGCAAGGACGTTTTCCAAGCGACATTAAAGTCATTAAAATGCATGGAAAAGAGCATTATAACGTGTTAACTCTTAGGAGTAGAATGCAAAATTAACCAACAAGTCAAGGTTAGTGGGACAAAACATTATGATTCTACCCCAAATATTAAAGAGGTTGAAGCTAAATTACATAATGATATTATTTCTGAGAAGGAAAAGGAGGAGGGTTCTATTAGTGAGCCTGCCAAGGCACAAAATTCTGATGCCAAGGAGAAACCAATTCCAACTCCTGCAGTTAAGGAAGCTAGACCCCACCACCCTTTCTGTAAAGATTGAAAAAGTTTAATAATGAAGTTTAATTCAAGAATTTTATGGACGTTCTTGATTAGCTCCATATTAACGTACCTCTCTTGGAAGCTATTGAAGAGATGCCGACGTATGCCAAATTTCTTAAGGAAATTTGACAAAGAAGAGGAAAGTAGAGAAGTATGAGACAATTTCCACGGTAACAAAATATTGTTCTTCATTGAGTAAGTTTCCACCAAAGCAAAATGATTCGACAACTTCATTATTCCCTGTTATATAGGAGCTAATTTTATTAGAAAAGCACTATGTGATATTGGTTCAAGTGTGAACTTAATGCCAAATCTATATTCTTGAAGCTTGGCATAGGAGATACGAGACCTACCTCGGTTATTTTACAACTTGCCGACTGATCCCATGTTAAACCTGAAGGGAGAGTCGAGGATGTCATAGTAAGGGTGGATAAATTTGTGTTTCCGGTCGACTTCATAATTCTGGATTGTGAAGTTGATGCAAAGAACCCATCATTATGGGTAGACCTTTCCCAACCACTTGTTGTATTTTGATAGATTGTGAAAAATGTGAACTCACCATGAGAGTGCCTGATCAGTGTGTGACTATCAATGTGTTTCGTACTCTCAAGTATATTGATGAAACTAAAGAATGCCAAGGCATTTATGAATTGAGCTCATTGGTTGAAGAAGAAACCGAACAACTTTGGTAGAATAATTTTATTCAGCTAGAATACAAGGAATATTTAATGGATGATGAAAGCTTAGAGGAGCATGACAACTTCCCAATTTTGGAGGAGCAATCTAGATTACTACTAGCTAGATCAAGTATGAATTTTGAACCTTTGAATTTTGATAAATTTATTACTCATAAGCCTTCGTTATTGCATGCACCTACCCTAGAGCTTAAACCCTTGCTAGGGCATCTTAAATATGTTTACTTGGGTAGAGAAAACACTTTACCAGTGATTATTTCCTCTAACCTTACTACTAACCAAGAGAAAAGTTTGTTAAGTATTTTGATGCAACATAATAAAGTACATGGTTGGACTATGGATGATTTGAAAGGAATTAGTACCACGATTTGCATGCATAAGATTCTGCTAGAGGAATGCCATGGTAACTCGATAGAACCACTAAGAAGACTCAACCCTGTTATAAAGAAAGTGGTAATGAAAGAGATTCTGAAATGGCTTGATGCTGGATTGATTTACCCTATATCGAATAGCTCATGGGTGAGCCCTGTTCAATGTGTGCCGAAGAAAGGAGGCACGATTGTGGTTATAAATCAGGATAATGAATTATTACCCATTTGCACTGTTACTGGATAGAGGATATGTATGGATTACCATAAGCTCAACAAAGCTACAAAGAATGACCATTTTGCTCTACCTTTCATCGACTAAATGTTGGATCGATTGGCAGGAAAAGCATTCTATTGCTTTTTAGATGGGTATTCAAGGTATAATCAAATTTCTATCGCACCAAAGGACCAGGAGAAAACTACATTTACTTGTCCCTGTGGCACTTTTACCTTTAGAATGATGCCTTTTGGACTCTGTAATGCCCTAACAACTTTTCAGCGTTGTATGCAAGCTATTTTTCTGATATGATTGAGTATTTCCTTGAGATATTCATGGATGACTTCTCTGTTTTTAGAGACAACTTTGAGCAATGCCTCGACAATTTGGCAAAAGTTCTCAAAATATGTGAGAAAGCTTATTTGGTTTTAAATTGGGAGAAATGCCACTTCATGGTTACTGAAGGCATTGTGTTAGGCCATAAAATATATCATAAAGACATTGAGGTGGATAAAGAAAAAATTGAAGTAATTAAAAAATTACCACCAACAACTTCTGTCAAGGGTATAAGGAGTTTCCTTGGACACGCTGGATTTTATAGAAGATTCATCAAGGACTTCTCCAATATTTCTAAGCCCTTGTGCACATTACTTCAACAAAAGCAACCCTTTGTGTTTGATGAGTTATGACTCGGCGTATTCAGTGAGCTGAAAAAATGATTGATCTCAGCTCCTATTATAGTTCCTCCCGATTGGACATCTCCATTTGAGTTGATGTGTGATTCGAGTGATTATGTCGTAGGAGCTATTTTGGGGCAATGCCGAATTAAACTTTTTCATGTTATATATTATGCTAGCCATACATTGAATGAAGCACAATTGAACTACACCACCACTGAGAAAGAATTACTTTCCATTGTATTTACTTTTGATAAATTTAGACCATACCTAATAGGCACTAAAGTTATTGTTCACACTGATCACTCGACTATAAAATACTTAGTGAAGAAAAAGGATGCAAAGCCTAGACTTATTAAGTGGATCTTACTTTTGCAAGAATTCAACTTAGAGGTTGTAGATAGAAAACGTATTGAGAACCAAGTTGTTGATCATTTATCTAGGCTAAAGAACAATTATGAATGCCATGACACTGTAGACATTCAAGAGGAATTTCTTGATGAGAAAATTTTATATGCCACAACAATCCCGTGGTACGCTGACCTTGTTAATTTTCTTGTTAGTGGAATACTGCCTTTTGATTTGAACAGTCGGGGCAAAAAGAAATTCAAGTACGATGCAAGGTATTATTTTTGGGACGAGCCATATTTGTTCAAGCATTGTGCTGATCAGCTCATTAGACGATGTGTACCTGAAGAGGAACAACACGACATTTTATACCATTGTCACTCGGCCCAAAGTAGAGGCCATTTTGGAGGAGCAAGAACTGCTGCCAAGGTCCTGCAATCAAGATTTTATTGGCTAACTCTATTCAGAGATGCTCATACATTTTACAATCTTGTGATCGATTCAAACGAACTGAAAACATATCCAGGCGACATAAAATGCCGCTGCAAGGTATTTTTGGAAATAGAGTTGTTTGATGTTTGGGGCATCGATTTCTCGTGACCATTCCCATCTTCTGAAGGTGATCTATACATCTTGTTTGTTGTGGATTATGTATCCAAGTGGGTAGAAGCAATAGCAAAATCAATGAATGACTCTAAAAATGTACTAAGGTTTTTGCACAAGAATATTTTCACTCAGTTTGGAGTACCTCGAGCCATCATTAGTGATGAGGGAACCCACTTCGATAACAAGTTGATGGCCAAGGAACTAAGGAGATATGAAGTTTGTTATAAGATTGCCATGGTATATCATCCACAGATAAATGGTCAAGGTGAGATATCCAATTGTGAGATCAAGCATATTTTAGAAAAGTGGTGAACCCAAGGCGGAAGGATTGGTCACCAAAGTTAGATAAATCACTGTAGGCGTATAAAACATCATTCAAAACTCCTCTGGGCATGTTACCATTCAAGTTGGTGTATGAGAAGGCATGTCATCTCTGAGTCGAGCTCGAACATAACGCGTACTGGGCTATTAAGCGTTTGAATTTTGATGCTCAGTTAGCTGGGGAGCAGAGATTACTGGAACTTATTGAAATGAAAGAGTTTAGGACACAAGTATATGAAAATGTGCGGATATACAAGGAAAAAACCAAGAAGTGGCACAACCAAAAACTAATGCCACATCATTTTCATGTTGGCCAACAAGTGTTGCTTTATAATTCCAGACTTAAACGTTTTTCTAGGAAGCTTAAATCTCGATGGTCAGGACCATTTGAGGTGCATTATGTTTATCCCCATGGAGTTGTTAACATCAAGAACATAGATGATGGGATGATCAACAAAGTCAACGGCCAGCGTCTAAAAGCTTACAATAGAGTTCCACCACTGATCGACAAGACAATGATGTACTTGCACGATGTTGGAGTGTGCCCAACTGAAAACCAAATTTCAAGGCCACGACAATAAATTTCGTTGCCTGTGCATAAATAACAAATTTATTATTTTCTTTATTTTTATTTTTATTCTAATTTTATTTCGTGCATAATTTTATTTTGTTTTGTAGGGGACCAATTGTACTGCAGCCATACATGGAAAGGTTATCAAGGGATGAAAAGAAAAAGTAATTTAAGGAGGAAAATATTATTTTTGATTTATTCATTTCTTTTATTTTATTTCCTTATTTTTATTTCTCTCTCTCCATTTTCTTTTCACATCACATTTAATTTTATAGTTTACTTTTTCTTCTTTTCTCCTATCCATTTACCCCATCAACTCATTTCTTTTCAACCATCCACTCACTCCATCTTTCTCACTATTTCCTTTAATTTTTACTTACATATTTTTCTTCCCTCATTTTCCTCCATAGCCGAAACTCTTCAAGTTCTCCAAGCACACAAAACACACTCCTTTTTTCATTTTCTTTCTTCAAAACACTATAAAAATGGTGCGTACTAGACCTAAAGAGGCAGAAGCTCCTATTACTCAAAAGTTTGAAAACGATAAAGCAAAAGCAAGGTTTCATAACTTCTAAAACTTGAAGCTTTTCTTTAAGTTAAGGTTCACTTTTATAGATTAACAAGATGGAGGTTTCGGACCAGACTTGATGGATATAGTCACTCCACACAAGTGGCACAAGTTTGCGAGGAATCCGGGTTCTATGAATGAATCGTTGGTGAAAGAATTTTATGCCAATATTTCCAAACCGAACCAGCATGTTATTTTCGTGCGAGGTAAGTACATTCAATTTACACAAACTTCTTTTAATCGTTACTTTCATTTACATGGTGTTGAAGACCAACATACAAAGTTTGAGAAAGACGTCGACAATGCAACTTACGATGGAGTTTTGGAGGATTTGTGTTTCCGAATACCTCTTGGAATGGCCACCAAACCAGTCATTACTCGGTTAACCGTGAACACATCCAACCGCGTGCCAAGCTGTGGAACCATTTTATAAATAACAAGCTAATGCCAACAACCCACAATACGATGGTATCTATCATACGATTAATGCTCTTACATTCTATTATGGTAACCCGAGGCTTCTCCAGAACTAAATGAAGATGGTACCCCTATTGATGAACCTATTCCAGACCTTTCTTCATCCCTGATTCTGGACTCACCTATGGTACCAGCTGACAGAACCCCCAGTCCCATTCCTACACCTGAACCTTCTCTTGCTCGACGTAGCAGCCATTTTACAAAGACATCGGATGGACGCATCGATATCTCTCATTAATATTCTACTTCTACTGATTCCAGCCCTGCACCACTTCGCAAGCGTAAAGACAAGGAGTTTCCAGCACCTCCACTGCAACACCACCACCTAAAACATGAGGTACATCCATTTGCATTCATTTTGCATTCCATTGCATGACTTGTAACACCCATCCCCCGTACACCTTTTCGTACACGAGATACATATATAACATTACTTTTAAAACAGTTCCTTATTTGAAAACCCATAAAATTTTATTTTTTGATTTCTGAAAACATATCATTTTAAGATAAAGCCAAACATTGACTATAATTGGTTACAAAAATTCTACTTAATTGAAATTCAGAGCACTTTTAATATTTCAATTACATGCAAAATAAGTTTTGCAAAATAACTAGATTGCCCCTTTTTGTCACTGATGAGTCAACCTGAATTGATGATCACTCCTACTACAGTTGCACTCCTTACGCATTTACTCTTTGCGTTTACCTAAGCGTGGAAGCAACACACATTAAGCATTTACTTAGTGGGACATAGTATCGTAAGAGCATTAAGGTATACATCAAAATCTCATGTTTATTTGATTTCAAACTAATTCGTATCATCCATAAGGATTAGATAAGTCATTCTTATCGAAACCAAACACCTTTCATACTATCATCATAAATATCTTTGGTATGTCCATAATACTTTTCTTTCTTTCATTTTTTTAATAAGTATTCATTAATTTCAGTTATGTCGTTCATACATTTTAGTTATAGCATCCTTTCATGCCTTAATGCATCCATTCATGCATTTTAGTTATGACATCCTTTCATTCCTTAGTGCATCCGTTCATGCACTTTAATTATGGCATCCTTTAATGCCGTAATGCATCCATTCATGCATTTTAGTTATGGCATCCTTTCATGCCTTAGTGCATCCGTTCATACACATTAATTATGGATTCTTTCATGCCTTAATGCATCCATTCATGCATTTTAGTTATGGCATCCTTTCATGCCTTAGTGCATCCATTCATGCACTTTAATTATGGCATCCTCTCATGCCTTAATGCATTCGTTCATGCATTTTAGTTATGGCATCCTTTCATGCCTTAGTGCATTCGTTCATGCACTTTTTCATGCCTTAGTGCATTCGTTCATGCACTTTAATTATGACATCCTTTCATGCCTTAATGCATCCGTTCATGCATTTTAGTTATGGCATCCTTTCATGCCTTAGTGCATTCGTTCATGCACTTTAATTATGGAATCCTTTCATGCCTTAATGCATCTGTTCATGCATTTTAGTTATGGCTTCAGTTTAGAGCATTTCATACTCTAAAATTCATTCATAATACTCTTTCCATACATATAAAGATAATATAATCAATAATGTAAAACATATATAAATTTAAACATTCCAATTTGAATGTTCTTCCTCTCAAATACTTAGAATAAGGTACTCACCTGGTAATCCCTGCTAAAAAGATGTAGAGATGTCTGGCTAGTCAGCAACTTTGTTTTTCCCCTTTTCTTGCTAGATTCAGGAGCTTGGTTATAATCTATACAATCATTCATTCAGGACATATACCTTACCAAATGTTAGTATATTCCCTAACATTTATACTTTAATACTTAAACGTACCATTCTTTAAATTTCAATAACCATTTCAATCTATCTTATAGTTCCAAGCTCACTAGTATCAGTACTACTACCCTGGTATCGATACTTCTATACTATGGTACCGATACCCCCTTTCAATATCGATACCATTTCTATATTCTGTGTTGTATGGTATCGATACCCTTCTCTCACTATCGATACTACTATACTATGATACGATACCCCCTTTCATTATCGATACCATTTTGACATTCTGGATCCATGGTATCGTTAGTTCCCTTTGTTATTATCAATACCTCATCAGTATCGATACCACTTGCATCGGTACTGATACTATTCATCAAATTTCTATATATTTACACCTATAGTATCGGTACTATTCAATCAGTACCGATACCATTGCCCAGATTTATCATTTTTCAGCTCGATTTTTCACTTAAGTTTTCCCTTAATTTTCCCTCTAATCTTTTACTTTTACCTCTAACAATACTATTTAACTCCTATTTACTTAACCCAACTAACTTTACTTCATTTTGCCTCCTTTAACATCTAACATCTTCATGGAACATCTCAACTCAAGAATCATGTCATTTTTCTAAACATGTTTTTAATCATATTTCATGCTTCTAATCTCTTATTTCATCATTTGACAAGTCAATTATACTAATAAACCCCAATAAAAACACATATATCAACAAATCATTCAAGAACTCATTTCTTTAAATCTCCTATAAAACATTCATTACTTAGTTTTACTCTTCTTTAATCCTTCCTTAAACTTACATTTCACTTCATGTTACCAAAGACAACATAATTTAAAGGAAAAACTAGCTAATGGAAATTTACCTTATGCTAGAGAGGATAGCAATACCCACGTGAAGAAGAAGAAGAGTAGAAATTATTCTACTTTCCTATTTTCCCCTATTTAAAATCCCCAATAATAATATATTTTTAAATTCATTCTCCCTATTAAAAGACCAAAGTGCCCTCTTAATTTATCTATTGTTACAAATTAATATAAACACTATTTCAAATCATTTTCTCACCTTTTACCACTTATTCAAATAAATCTTAAATCTTTAAATCTTTTCAATATAGTCCCTGATTTGATATTTGGGGTATTAGAATTCTCCCCTTAAGAAAATTTGTCCTCGAATTTAAATAAATACATGGTATGAATAGGTATGGAAACTGTATTCTCATGTCCTTCTCTCTTTCCCAAGTAGCTTCTTCAAGTTTATGATTTTGCCAGAGTACTTTAACTAAAGGAATCTTTTTGTTGCGCAATTATTTTATTTCTCTAGCTAGGATCCGCATTGGTTCTTCTTCATAAGTTAAATCTGATCGGATTTCTATCTTCTCCGGTGTGATAATGTGCGATGGATCTTATCGGTATCTTTTGAGCATCGATACATGAAAAACATTATGGATCTTATCCATATCCGGAGGCAAAGCTAATTGGTATGCTATTGGTCTGATTTTTTCAAGATCTCAAAAGGTCAAATGAATCTCGGACTCAGCTTTTCTTTGTACCCAAATCTCAAAACTTTCTTCCAATGCGACACCTTCAGAAATACTTTTTCTCCCACTTGAAATTCAATTTCTTTTCTTTTCAAATCAACATAAGATTTCTGCCAATCGGAGGCTATATTTAAATTACCTTGAATAATCTTTACTTTCTCCTCCATTTCTTTAATCAATTTCGGCCCAACTAGGTCTCGGTCTTTTTATTTCAAACCAATTTAATGGTGTTCGACACTTTCTCCCATACAAAGCTTCATACGTGGCCATCTCAATTTTCGATTGATAATTGTTATTATATGCAAATTCTACTAAAGGCAAATACCTCTCCCATGATCCTTTAAACTCAATCACACATGCCCTTAACATATCCTCAATTATCTAGATAGCTCGCTCTGTCGGCCCATCTGTCTGTGGATGAAAAGTTGTGCTGAAGTTCAATCGAGTACCCAATGTCTCATGTAACAACTTCCAGAACCTTGAAGTAAATCTTGGGTCCTAATTAGATACTATTAATATAAACACTCCATGCAGTTTGACCATTTCTTTAATATACAACTCTACATACTTATCCATCGAGTAATCTATTCGAACATGAATAAAATGAGCTATCTTGGTC